AAACCATATTTTTCCTTTATCGCATTTTTAAACTCACTTTGGCGAGTTGCCCCTCATTGCATTGTGAGGCATGGGTGTTGAAAATGACGCTAATTTAGAGTATTTGAAAAGGAGGCAGTTACGATTCTATAACCGTAATTGCTGCATCAGGTATGATTTTGGATGGTTTGCTAAAATCATTCGAGCATTAATGAGGCATAGAAAGCTCAAGGGATTGAGGGATTCCTCCAAGGTCTGTCAACACAACTGCACACAGAATTAGTGGAAATGTAAGAAATGTGGAGTAGGCGAATAAGAGGCAGTCAAACCGGCGTTTTCTAGTACACTATCGTCTCAGAACAGGTTAAGCGTCTATCAGACGTCCAACGGTGTAAAATTACCAACATTTATTCTCATCGACATTACTAATGTAGCTTTATTTTTGTGACTAACAGTCAACTAGTTAAAAGGGGTTCGAGCATGTCTCGTGCTTTTGCTTCTTCTCTCGTCTTATCGACCGAGCAAGCTGCGACAATCAAAATTCATAGCTGAAGATGGAATCGGTGTTGCCATCCCTATCTAGCTTGTAGTGGGTTCCCTTTCTGGCAGAAGGAAGAAGCACACTGGCTACCGTTTGGCGTCCTGTTCCAACTTACTGCATTATAGGTTCCCAGATGTTGTCAGTGTGCTCTGTTCACTTGATCGTGTGGTGTGCTGAAGGAGGATGTAAGGCAGAATGCCTAATGTCCGAGTCAAATGCCCTCTTCACAGTGCCACTCTTCCCTTTGTCGTTTGTAACATGGACAGGTAGGAGGGACAGTGAGCAGGGTGGGTGGATGTAGACAGGAATGTGGGTCAGTATGTTTAGATGCAGAGGGATGGCTTAAAGTGTGCATTGGAGAGTGGAGTTGGGTTTCGGGTGAGAAGCAAAATCGCCAAACACTGCTTTGATTTTAGCCCCATTGCAGTGTTGTGCAAGGGTCGAACTCACAAGCGTTGTGAGCCACCATTTGATGGGCAGCTTTAGTCAATGACATTCGCATTCATCGTCGTGAACGTTTGCTTTCTAACATTACTACGAAGTATGTGATAATACAAGATGCCGAGATATCCCACTTTGTAAAATGTATGCACCGGTTGGCTGCTAGGCGAGAAAATGAAACAAAAATAAATGATGTCTATGAGAATGAATTTTGATGATTTTACACTCAGGCAAAATGGGGTTGACTTGGTCAAACAGATCGCCACTTAGGTATCTATGAACGGTTTCAGTGTGCACTTTACAGTAATTCGAATGAGTAGTGACCGAACCCCTACATGAAATTGGAACAATCTGTAAGCATGAAATTTTGTGCGCCTTTATATAAAAGATGCCAAGTGATTTCCGTCAAGTCTCACCGACTTTCATGTCGTGAGGTTTAGTGTAGCTCCGACACCATCAATCAACGTCGATCTGCCAGTGATCCCCCCGATATGGCGGTTATTTGCCAGTCAGCAAAACAACTGCCACTTCATTGAACTATTCAGTGAACAGAAAGTCTTGTCTTGCTTAGGAAATCCATGCAACACCATAACCCATCTCGAAATACTACAAAAGAGTGATTGTGCCTGTAAGAATGGCGAACCCGACTGTAAACGACCTTAGTACCCACTGGGTACTTTAAAGGCTACAACATGATTTGGTTGTTTGGACAGATTTTCCCTGTAGAACTCATTCCTGGTTTTTATCTAAACACTAAGATATATAAATACGGAGACAGAGGGTGGTGACATAAACCGGGGATCATTTCTACTTTGGCCTACAGCTCTGGTTTAATATACTGCTCACTTACTCCTCTTCTGCAATTTCAATCCTTTTTCTATTCTTTGCGATAGTTTATATTCGCAGAAACAATTAAACGATGACTTGAAAACAGGCTTACACCAGTGATTAAGCTTGGGCATCGATGTCTGATGGCTCTCTGCAAAGTAGCATTGCAAAGTACTATAGCAGTAGTGGTAAATCAGGTAGCTTCGCTCTGTGTGATGATTCAATAATCCGTAAGAGTGATAACAGTGTGTATAATTTTGGTCCTAATGTAGGGTATAATCATGAAGCTCATGTATTTCCCTCAATGCGCATTGTAGGTGCTGGCTTAGGAAACCTGTGGATCGACCTTTATTGCTCCCGAGCAGAGTTACAATCACTGACACTCAAGTACGGGGACTCAATGTCTCCCACTAAATCCTGCATAATGTGGCTTTCAGTTACATTCACTTATGCACCGATACACGAAGTTAAGAGAAAGCCACACGTTACTACAGAACCACACTCTAGGATGACTCCAGGAATAATATGAAGCATTTAGAGCTATGGAGGATGGATCTCATAGACTCAACGATGAAACAAAAGCCACATCACACACTGGAGTAGAAAAACAAAGTCAAAGCGGAATTCCTTAGAATTACGTTTTTTGGATACAATGCCATTGGTATTCAGGTGAAGACGCCTGTGATCTATGAATGGGAAAGGAATGGATACCTGAGTTGCCATTATTGCAAGACAAGATTTCATGTGTGAATGAAGGCGTAATATTGGCTCTTTGGAACCATCAGTTCTTCTTTTCTCCTAAGCAGGTTCACAGATGGCACAAAAAGTGAAGCCGCTGTAGAGCGTTGACCCGCCTTTAGTAGCAAGAAGTCAGTAATTTCCTTCAATGAAGGTCAGAAGGAGGACCAAGCTGTGATACTGCCGAAATAAAACGGGACGTTTCAGTTCCCTCAGCCTGTTCCTGCCTTGTGAGATGTCGTGGGAGCACCAACTGCGTTGTGATGGTTGAAGAATTCTTATTCCAATCCGTAAAACAAGAAAAACATTACCTCCTCTCCTCAGGTTTTGAGCTTTCTGTAGAGCTGAAGCAAAATAAGAGAAGAGGTAGCGAGATTGAAATTTTCCAAATTTATTTTATTCTTCGGATAAGGTCATTGGAACTATGCTATGTGCATGAAAACGACCGCCATGAAATTGATCGATTTACTGACCTTAAACATAGCTCAATTAAAGGTGTCGTTTGTTTTCTTGGACATTCCCATGACATTCATTTATTATCGACCCACAATTTTATTAATAACACCAAAAAGGTTAAAAAAAAGGTTAAAAAAAAATCTTGATGGTATTTTAGACCGAATAACTTCCTTTTATGCCTCCACTTCTCTAAAGTATAATTAAACATTCCAGCGTATTTTTGTATCAGTATGAAGCAGTGAGCGTTTCTGACTAGAAAAATAACAGTAAAGCGCTAATTTGTTAATAATGAATGCTTATTCCTGCAGTGCGTCTCCATACTTGCCCTATCTATAATTTGCTTTGGACGTGCGGAAATAAGGTTGGGCTACTCAAGCCTGTCCCACTTTACGAACAAAGTAGTATGCACACAAGGGAAATAATTCAATGTCTGTTTTGAATCGGCACCTTGAACTAATTTACTCGGCAATTTATCATGCTTGGAGAATTTAGGCATCTACGACACGTGCAGCTATCCTTGTTACTTGCTGCATTGCATTAGTGGAAAAAAAGTGCATCTGTCTCTCTCTCTATCCATTCTTTTATCTGGCCATTCATCAAACGTGGCATGTAGCGGAGGCATGTGTTTGTGTTGCGAAGCCATCCTTTGACAGTGACGTCCACGTAAGCCAGACATTTGACTCTTCTCCGGCATGCAAGCTCAGCGGTGATTCTGATACAGTTCATTAACTTACTGAGGAAATGGTGAGTTGTTATCCTGCTGCCATCGAAAGCAAAACAAAAACTACAATTGTGTTGGCAATTTGTAGTGGATTTTTGTGTCAACTCAAATAGTTATCCTGCCCTTTTAAGCAGCCGTGACATCTTAGGATATGGCCGCCTAGTTTGACCATGGCTAATTTGGAGTGAAAGTTGTTACTCAGTTTTCCCCTAAAAGAGGTCTCATGGTGACAAATTACGGTGACTTCCAATGACCTCTTGCTCAGTCTAGTTTAACATTGTGAAGCCCATTTTCAAAACCACGAACACAGTATTACTTCAGCGTCCCAGTCTACAACCTCTTCAACTTGATGACAAAAAACAACTACTTATTTAATCGTCAGCCTTTCTACAAGGTTCCTCTAGCGTGCTTGAATACTTCCTTTTCTTGATAAAAAAGGGCAAAAATGTTAAAAGGAAGATTAAATGGAAAGCCAGGCCCACTTCTTTGGCATATTAATTGAGGTGTGTGGAGGACAGAGTCACGTGTCCCAATACCATGCCTGTGGCAGTTCACTTAACAGGCCTCCGTTATGAAATGATGTTTACTTGTGTAAGCACAGATGCTCTCGCGATCCCGACCGATGTAACTAAGGGATAGAGCTTTAGAAAAGCAAGGACTTTAGTGCTGGCATCGTGTGTACAACCACAGCAAGATATCCGCTTCCGTGACTGCGCGCAAGTGCTGATTGTTGAGATGGTTCCGTCCTCGTCTATGCATAGTATTTTCAATGGCATTGACCCTAACGTGACTATAGCTACAAGTACAGTTTAACAGCACGTCATAGTGGTCAATGCGGAGACTTTAAATGCAGTGAATATCAAAGCATATTCCATAATCTCAAAAGTGCTAGATTACAACATGCACTTGCTACTGCGTCAAAACGGTGATGTTGTAGATACCTCCACCACCGTCTAGCCCCCCTCTCTCTACACAACTCTCTTCACCACCTTCCTCATATGGAAGGCAACAGGTAGAAAACTGCATTGAACACTCGGCACTTATGGGGTCAGGAAACTCGTCTTTTAATTGTTACTTCGTATACAGTGTATTCAGCTCACAACAGCAGCATTTGCCTCATTGCGATACAATTTTTTTTTCAATTTGCCACCTCCTACCATTTCTTTTATTCACTTGAATCTTCTGTCATGCCACATCTCTCCTCATTGCCAACTGGGTGTGTGTGTATTTCTCCGGCGGTATATTAAGTGAGCACTTCAGGGGCAAGATAAAGCTGCAAATAGAGCTGCTTCATTGCTATGCTGTTGAGGAGAAGGAATGACATGGATGGCCAGTGGCAGCGGTGAATTTGCTGTTAACACGCCCTTCATAAATTGATATACCTCCTACATTGTTATCTAACTTAAAGGCTGACTGCGTAAGTGGTGAAGAAGAAATCTTGACAGAATATAACTGTTGCGTGACTAGGGGATACGACTCCAATAAGTGAGCCGATCCACCATTAATTTCGAATAAACAGATTCGACTTTGAATTCACATTTATCAATAAAAATTGCAGCCAACACTTACGTCAACCATGAAAAAGTTTATAAAACCACTTTCTAGTTCTTTAAGGCCTGCAAACCTTTTCAATCATTGCTGAATCTTTTGTGCTACTCTTAGATGACGGATGTGTAGAAATTTGGAATTAGGAAGACATTTTGAAAGTGCTGCGTTCACAAGGCGTCTGCATGACACCTTTGCTTGCCTCTTTGGTCAGCTGTGTTAAGAATGCGTTGCAAAGTCAGAACAGACGATCCAAGTATGCGCCAAACTGCATAGCCTTCCGGACGAGTTGTCCATGCAATCAGCCCACCTAGACCTCTTTGCCTCAATATGATTTAGAGAGCGACCCCATCAGTCAACTGCCACTGGACTACATAGAGTCGATAACAGCATCAAAGTTATGCTTTTTATACGGTCGAAAAGGCAGTTTTAACCCCTTTGAAGTGTGCCCGATATAATTACACCTCTGTTTCATACTAGGAATGGCAGTGTGCAGGTAGCGAATATTCGGAAGCTTGCAATTTATGCCAAGTAAAAGGACCAAGAAGTTTGTTTCGTTATTCTTTATTGCATTTCAAATATCGCGTTAGTCGTAGACATTACCTAAAGAACCCCATTGCATTTAGGAAAATAAAAATGCGTAAAAGCAGTAACCATGTTGATGACCTTTGGGTTGTCACCAATTTCATTGGCTCATTTGCCTGCTTATTTTCTGAAATAGTTTAGCTTGACAAAAGGAATGTATGGCACGAGAAATAATTACTCCTTAATTGCTGTTTGGCAAGTTGAAAGTAGTTAGTTTAGCACAACTCACCAAAGCTAATCAAGTAGTCCAGTTTTCTGCTGGACTGCTATTTAAAGGTTGGTTATGGATAAAAATAAACAGTTTAATTGGAAGAGAGAGACGTGGGAAATAGCGCTAATATGCTACGCCAGGCGGTGCCACCCCTGCAGACTCATTCATACATTGGATGATTAGCCTTTTCTAAAGCACTGCCACATCATGTAAGTGATTCCACAATACGCAAAAATGTATGATTCTCAAAGGCCACAAGAATTCTACTGCGTTCTTTTCCAGGGTCTGAGGCATGGAAGTAGCCTCATTCGAGTGGGTGTGTCCCAAAGCGTCAAATATGCCGCGCATGCAGCCGAAGGAGTATTCCAGTGGCTTTGTTAGTGACGTATAGAATGCCGGAAGGATTAGTAGCAGCATTCTGTGGCAGCAGTGAGAGGGACAATTCCAGTGAGATCAGAGGAACTTAACTTTCATGGTTCATTGATAAAAAAATTATCTTGTCGTTTCTTGACACAAACACCCCGAGTTGAGACCACGATATCTTCATGACTAAATGGTGAAAACCACTTCATCGTTGACAACATCATTGACACTTTTTACTATTTCTCTGATGGAGTTACCCAGTGTGTTTACTGTTTCATTTTCTTGACTCTTGCATTCGGCATTCACCTAGTATCAAAACCAGGGACTAGGCGGTTGAGACATGGGACCAATGAAATGAAGTTGGTAGGATAGATATTAAAGTAAGCAGAAATTCCATCAATAAATACCCTCACTATTTCCCTACTAAAGCCACTAAAGTTCCCTACAAGGAGGTAACATCATAACCAGGAACGGATGCAGGGAATCCTAATAAATCATATGTGTGATTTAATAAAGAGGGTTTTGATGTGTAAGAACTGTAGTCTTAGAGGACGAAATTTTCTCCACCTTGATTACAAATAACCTCTTGCTTGGATTATGCAGAATTATTCTTTTCCTAACTAACTTTCTCGATCGATTCTAAAAGTTGACCTTAGCTTCTGCTTTATAGAGTTTTAGAAGCACACTTTTCGAATCGAAAAGTGTGAATGCAGCCAAATGATAGCTTGGGAAAGTAGGTAAAAACACTATAAGCCTTCAAGGCCACCACCTTTCATAATCGTGCAAAAGCCAAGCTACCCAATCCCATTGTCAACACATTCCACACCACTTTAATTGGTCAGATGCTTTGCCAGGCGCACATGTGTGACTCATCCGTGCGCTTTCCCATTGGCCGTCCATAGGGAAGTGCGCTGTCTTTGTCGGGACGCTTCGCACTTCCATTAAATTCCGTTTTATTCTGCTAGTGGCAAATACTCTCAACGTTCTACATTCCAAACTAAAAAATCGGGTTTTTGTAAATCTTAGCACTATTCGACGCAATTGTTAAACGCGCAATAATTATTTTAAGGCTAGTAACAAATAGCGGCCTAAATAACGGCGATTCAATTCAATCCACACTTTCCATGGAGTCTTACTGTACTTAGTGTAGCAATAAATTGTCCAGTATTGAGTAAAATCTGGACTCATGCACATAAGTTGATACGTAATCGACATCTGTGCTACGTATTTTTGGTTAACATTCAATCGAATAGAAGTAAACCTCAATTGTCCTTTTACAGGTTCCAATACTAGGTCTGGTTTATTCTTAAAGGAAACGTTAAAAGCGAAAAGCCGTCTGTGTTTGGCTCAATTTTCCTGGTTCTTCTAATTTGACTCACTTTTGATTTACGTGCACAGCTAGTGAAATAAAGTAATAATTGGAGAAGAATTAATGGCCACCCACCGGGGAGTAAATAGCCTTCTACATTTGTTATTTAAGAGTGGCATTGGGCAGACCCATTCACGATGCGTTGAAGGGTTGTGATGTGGGTGAGCAGCAGTAAATTTGTGACCTGGTTTCATGGGCTTGGGCTCTATTTGGATGGCAGAAGGGGCTACCAACCAGAGCATTCAACGGCGAAGGGCTCCATCGGAGACGTCTATTTGCCAAGGTCGCGCGTAGTGACAGGTGACTCAGTAAAAACCTGTTTATGCGTATTTAATGGCCAAGCTTGCCAGTGCTGCCAGGGTTATCTATCCCACTGACACTCTGGTGCGCTCGATTCACTGCAGCAGTAAAGGCACAGTTCACCCTCATTGGGCCTGCAAATCTTTTATCCGAAGGAAAACAAAAAGGCATTCATCTTTATATTTCATCATGTAGAATAGATGTTCATTTGACACTAGTCTTGCTAACTAAGTGGAATCGCTGTGATTACAACTTCTAGTTATTTGTATGACCCTATTACTAGTTTCACCCTCCATTTCCCACACACCCAGTCGTGTCTTCATGTCAGCCACACGTCAGTTTGGAAGTGAATGACTTACCTCAATGTCTGTACACGACTTTGGCAAAAAATTCCTCTAAATTAGCAAAAGCTGATCAACTGACCTTGTTAGCTAAACATCAGAGACTACTTTCTCTCAAACGTCAGGCTCTCGTTACAATTCTGTATCCTTTGACTTGTAGGCGATTTGAATGACCAACCAACTGACCAACAAACCATGCAACAAGTAAATAATCACACCTAATGCAGGTTAGATCAGATTTATCTGCGCGGACCTGTCTGCCTGGATCCGACAACTGCCTGATCAATGCCGCTCATTGCATTTCTGCGGTAAGTCAGTGGGGTGAGAGGAAATGCCACACACTGGCACAGCATCACCCAACACAGCACCCACTATCATTGCACATTAAACAAACTCCAGGATGGAAACGCAACTACCTCAATGCCCACACAACGAGCATGCAATTTCTCCCATTCAGTACTCATGATAGAATCACCTTCTTCTTCCTCTTCTTCTTCTCCTTCGTTCTTTTGCTCTATTGGCATTTCCTTTTGAGTTCAGGATAACACGTGTGACTGCAACTTCGCATGCGACAGGTGGCCTCTCATCTTGCAGAACAAGTTCTACCAATTCGAAGGTGACCCGAGCCTTCAAGGCCACCACCTTTCATAATCGTGCAAAAGCCAAGCTACCCAATCCCATTGTCAACACATTCCACACCACTTTAATTGGTCAGATGCTTTGCCAGGCACACATGTGTGACTCATCCGTGCGCTTTCCCATTGGCCGTCCATAGGGAAGTGCGCTGTCTTTGTCGGGACGCTTCGCACTTCCATTAAATTCCGTTCTATTCTGCTAGTTGGGAATACTCTCAACGGTCTGCATTTCAAATTAAAAACCGGGGTTTTTGTAAATCTTAGCACTATTCGACGCAATTGTTAAACGCACAATAATTATTTTAAAGCTAGCAACAAATAGCGGCCTAAATAACGGTGAATTCAATTCGATATTGTACAAGGCTATACCCTAAAAGCTATATTTTAACAAAATCTAAATCCAACATTGTTGTGCCTCAGAAATATGTACTGAAAGCTATAATTAAAGTGTGAGAAAACTAAGAAAACTAAGAGATGCTTTTTGACGTTATCAGTTGGTAAAACCCACTTTTCTTTTCTCTTTCGAAAAGAGGTATAGGCAATTAAACAATAGGGCAAAATGTCTCATGTCATGAAAATACACACCCTCACACTTGTGAAGGCAGCTCGCCTAAATCTGTAAGACAGGATGCATTTAATGCTCAGTTCATAAAGTATTGGCAAAACTCCATGTTGCGACAAAACCTTCATCCCCACTAGGGACATAGGATTTCGCATACACCTCTATGTCATTTAACTAGTCCACGAAGGACTAACATCGTGCCATCTACTGGCGTGATTGCATTACCGTAACTACTAACACGAAGTTACTGTATGTTTTGATTTTAAGAGAGAAATGGAAAAATTTGCTCTGTTAACTTGGGCAGAGACCCAGTGTCCTGTGCTGGTTTGTACAGGAATGGAGAAATAAATTGCACTGTCTGTGGAAGCACGCGTTGCAGTGTCCCATCGTGACCTTCAGTCATTGTTAACGAGGATACGCAGGACATGGTGTTCCTAATGCAGCTTTCTTTGTGATATATTTTGAGCACCATTTAGGCGTCATGACCAAGTTTAGGATGCGTGAGGGAATAGTAAAAAGTGAACTATCATTGCTAATAGTAATGAGGTTATCCTAAAACTGGCCTCGAAGATAGTGCCTTCGAATTGATTAGGATGGCGTAACCCACAGAAATCGGTGAATTGTGAAATGCGAACAAAAAAGGGCCTGTTTTAGCCTAACCAGCTATAGTGCACAACCTCCAAAAAATAGCACTCTCTGGTGCTCTTCATTATCCGGGTTCGTACACATAAGTCTGATCTTTGTGCTTACACGCAAATCGGTTACCAAAGATGCCCGCTATTATGTCCCTGCCTTTTGATTATTTGACAGCTTATCAACATTAAATCTTTGTGTTCTAGAAGCTGGCAACACAGGTTATGACATTTGCAACAGGGTGTAAAAGTGGTAAGGCACATTACAACAGTTCTAGTCGAAGACCCAAAATAGCTGCATAATTGTAAGCTTGTCACCAACAGTGTGAAGAAGAAGGAGCTACCAGAAATCGGTGGAGATAAAGATCGGATCGTCATGATATTTGCTGGCAATTTCACTTCGCAAAGTTTCGAGGAAATCTGTGGCATTTCTTTGTCTTGTTCTCTTCTTAAATTTGTTCATTGCATCGCAAAATCTGCAGCATTATAGGGTCTGGCTCAGCAATAAGTCAGTTTGACCCTATTGTAATATCCTCAAAGCTGATGACTCGCATCCTGTCCATGTAGACCATTTGGGCAAATCACGGCTTTTTGGTATCAGAATTATGTGATTTCTCCCTAAATTGGACTTGAGCTAAGTCTAACATTGAATGACGGTAGTGTTTTAAGCATTTGTGCCGCCTAAATTTCGTGACAGTGACATCGTATCTATCCAGACGTCTACGTCACTCAAGCGCATATAACAGAGGTCATTTTTGTTGCACACAACTGAAACAGCTATATATACAGACCAAATGTGACACTACGGACTTGTGAATCAGCAGCCACTGCTCCAACGACAAATATGTGGCAGCATTGTTCTCATTACGTAGTGCAGTCAAGTGGTGACTAGAGAACTTAGTAATTGGAATAAATTCTATCAGTTCACAGTCAAATTGCTTCAAACCATTGCAATTACTACTGGCTTCTACTGCTCATTTTGAAGAGATTTTATTGCTATGCTTGCATATTTTATCAGCAAATATTTCCAATAGACATGTTGAGCTCAATGTCAGTCAACTCCTGGGTCACGGAAGGGCTTCAGTTCAGCCTAAGCTCACAACTTGCGATGCTGACTTGTTGCCATAGCGGCCGTTGAGAAATGTAATATTACTCATGCTTGTTTCAAAGGCAACATGAGTCGCCTTGAATGCATGGCAAAATGCTAACTTAAGCTGAGTTTTTGACTATTAGTAACGCAAGGGACGGCCTTAAATGGTCATAAAGAAAGAAATGAATCCAATTTTTGATTGCATACGAGACAATTTAAACCTTGAGAAGTCAGGCTTTACAATACATTACGGAATGTGATATGCAAAGAGGTGCAAAGAGGTTTATTTATTTATCTATCTAGCCATTCAGTCCTGAACCGCTGTGTAAAGCTGCATATCATGGTAGCCGTATTCCCTTGTAAGAAACGGCTTGGCAGCAGTCGCCACAATTGCCATTCTGATTATGTAAGACTTATGGAGTCAGTAAGCGTGGAATATCACCGGATTTGACGATTAACTTGAAATCTTGTTGTGAAAATTGTAGAATGCAGTGGTCACTTTCAGTCACCGGAAAGGATTCAGCAAGGAAGTGCCTTCTGATGATATCTTCTAGGCGCCATGTGTTGCATCCGCTGGAGAGGATATCATGTGTTATTCCATATCCGAACCATCAGTGAGAATGCCTTTTAGTCATCTTCGAGAAGATGCAAAACATTGAGGATTTGTGCAATAAACTTTTAATGCTAGATTAAAAAAATTAAATAAATAAACTTGGTTTATGGATGGAATCCGGTTAGAGCTACAGGCATGTCCTGAAGGCCAGTCCACCTGATGTAGTACATTGGCCAGGCCGAACGTGGCTCCTCACCAAAACCCTAGGGACAAAATACATCGCATTACACCACATCGCCCTTTCGAGAGAAGGTGGCCAGTTGACTCGGATCTCGTAATGGAGAAATGATCAGAAAACTTCCGAAGCGGAGAGGAGCTCTGTCTCCCTATAGTCTTGGGCCCGTACATATTTCTGTTGACTCTAACTAATTGATAAACATGTTCCAGTTATATTAGCCTCTTCGCTCAAAGAGCTGGAGGACCAGAAATGAGAAAAACAATGATGGAACGTGCACTGCAAAGGCAACAGTCTCATTGATTATGCTCTGATTGGCCACAGCGTGGATTTTTGTAAGTGGAATAGAAATATTTACCTGTTTCTCTATCAACATTGAATCCTACGTATAGCTTTTCCCAAATTTTACACTTTAATTATAGCTTTCAGTACATATTTTTGAGGCACAACACTGTTGAATTTAGATTTTGTTAAAATATAGCTTTTAGGGCATAGCCTTGTACAATATCGAAAAGTGGTATTTTCAATTTCGCCCTCTACTGCTTGTGTGTAAGTAGGCAATAATGAGTACGTAATTCCTAAATTATAATATTATGTCTTTAGATTATATTTTTCAATGTAATATTGCAAATATAAAAACTCATGAACATCAGGAAAATTCTAAAATAGTTGCGTTCATTGATGAGGAGCTGACAATTTCTGTTTAACAAAATCAGGCAGGAGTATAAAATGACTGAAGGAAATTTCGAAAAATTTAAATAGATTGGGTAGCTCGGAGTAACTGAGAGCTCGAATAGACAAGTTTCAATAATTTTAATAAGGTAAAGTTTCATCTAACCTATGCTTACCTGCCTAACGATGTCGTTCCAACTGTTTCTCTGATGCTTACGGATTTATTAATGGATGTCTAACATATTACTTTTGGCCATACAAGGAATCACTGCACACTTCAGGCAAAACATCATAGATGAAGCAACCAAATGTTCTTGTGCAGACCTTTGTCCAAAGGCCTAATACTGATATAGCTCATTGAATGAATATTTAATGCAGCATGTCTTAGTGGTAGTCCAGTTTTCATTTATTGTAGGTTTTTCAAAACCGACAAATTCATCGTCCAATGCTAGGTAAGCAAAATGTTCTTTTTGCATTGAAGTGTTTTCACAAACAAGAAATCAACATGACTGATTAGCAAGCCATTTATCCAATCTCGTGATAAATGGTCAATGGGAATTTGTCGTCTTATGCCCCAACATTCCACCTCATGCTGGGGGAATTGATGTTATCTGCTGCATCTATTTGTGGTACACATTTATTTCAAAACTGCAAATCAGCGGATTTATTCCCTCATAGGCCCAACTTTTGCAACTGATATAATCAGACTCACAACAGTTCTTGGTTTAGAGTTTACTGTTGCATTAGGAATATCGACATCAAGAGGTAAAGTTGGTGGCTGACAAATATCACTTCTTCATTTCTTCGCCCAAGATATTCATCACAGGAAGATAAAGTAGGCTTTCTGTTTAAAAACTTACCAAACGGCTAAGGCGTTGGGGTTTTGAGTAACGCCTTAGAAGTTTATTAACAAAGCTTTAAATGTACCTGGTAAATGGGATGCATGCTGTCCGAACAGGCTCAGTCTCATTTGGAGCCATTTACAGTTGATAAATGGGGGAAAGAGAAGTCACTTTAAGACCAGCAGCCGTGAATTTGGTTTAAGCACTAGCTGGGCAAGCGACTGTCAATTACTCCCACAAACAGTTAATTTGGAAGAAGAGAATGCACTGTGAAGCAGTTTCATTCAAGGGCATTAACATTTT